GAGTTGAGTGATTTTGCACATACAGATTTTATTTCTTATGGATTCTGTTTGGCTTCATGGAGAGAGTGACTGACTTTAGGCAGGATCCCTGGGTCTATTTGCTCTTGAGGAGCAGGCGCAAGTCCTACCAAGGAAAGTCCAGGAGACAGATGGCCAGCTCTTGTGTTACAACGATCATCTGCCGGGCTGAGAGCAAATATTAAGTGAATAATATATATGTCATTGGTGTTAAAGTACAGTTGCAACATTTCTAATGCCATTGGAAGGATGGCGCCTTCTTGAACATTTGTATTTCATAGAATAATATACTGAAATGTTTTTGTTTACAGGATTAATCCATTTTAAACTGCTTTAAAGTGAACATTTTCCCCCATTTTTGACACCACTGTGCAATATTTGAATTGAAATGGCCCATAATGGCTCTTTTTCTATTTTCCGTAACAACACGAGCACTAAATTAGAGCTGTGCAATTATGTAAACAATGGAAATGCTTCCCAAATGAATCCTTCCTTTAAAATTTTCATTTTGTGTAATTGTTGGAAGGTTTGGAGCCATAATAAACAAAATTATTTTACACATTTATCGTTCTAAAGGTCAATTATAAGAGAACCAAAGAAACAACACTATGCAAAATGAATAAACCAATTTCTGTTGACATTACCGTAAGTTTTCCTTATCACTTATGGTTTTTCCAGTTACTGTGTACATAGCATTCAATTAAAGCGATTCATTTACCAGGCTGAATGCGGTTTGTGTTGATAGAACTGTGCTTGAGGGGAGGAAATAACACGCCTCTATTTGAATTACCTGATTTTTTGCAAGACTGGTGATAAGAGACAGATGTCCTCACCAGTTACTTTCTCATAAACCTGAATCTTTCGATAAGCTGCAAATCTACAATTACCATCTTAAAATCTAGCTTTTCACACTCTATGTAGACTGTACATGGACTTTTAACCAAAAACAAGAGGAGAAATACTAGTTTGGTGGCCTGTGCCCTGTATTACAGCATTTTGCAGAATGAATTTTATTTCATTTGATCAAAAGCATGTGCTGTGTTTCATACTAGTCAACTTTCAGGAATAAGCTGAATTCCTGTATTAAACTCCATTTCTTATTGACTAATTGTTTAGTCTGTTCAGAGTATGGAAAAGAAACTAATCTTGGTAGGGGTAAGTGTCTAGGATGGTTTAGAAGAATGGAACCTGGAAAATCTAAAAAGATCATTTTCCCGTTTTCCTTTCATCATTTGACTTATAAATTATGTACACTCTGACTAATTGGTGTAATGCTTTGCTAAGGATGTTATCTGAGAGTGTTAATTTCTAGAGCTGTTTAATTTCTGTGTAACCTAAGAGGCTTACTTGTGCCACCTTTAAATGTTTTTAAATACTCTTTCTGTATATCAACAAAATAATAGTTCACTGAGTTCTACAAAGTAAACCTACAATGTAAATTCTACGAAGTAAAACACTTCAAAGTCCTTCCCTTTTTGGAAAAAAATTATTACTTGTCACTCTGTTTACTATTTTTGTGTGATCCTTTTCAGTTTTCAAAGGCATATTTTCACATCTACTATCCCATTAGATACAACTCTCTGATAGGGTTATCCCATTTTTTTGGAGGAGAGACATGAAGCTCTGGGCACTGTGTGTTCTGCCCACCATCACATATGTGACCCCAGGTCTCGGATTCTTTCCACCACGTCAGAATTTGAGTCCAGGGGCATTTCTGACTAGTGGTCACAAGGGCACAGCCCTGAGGAACCTCAAATCACAAGGTGAGAGTGTTGGCCCCTTTCCTGGTCTCTGCCAGCCTTTGTAACTCTGGAGCCAGCTGGCTGGAATTGGTACAAGAACTTCTCTGACACCGTCCTGACATTACAAGTCCCCCTTTTTAACAAGGAGAACCAGCCTCAGACCCAGAGCTTCCAAAAGCCAGTGATATTTAGCAAAAATTCAGTAGCGTTGTTTTACTGTCATTGTATTCATTTAAGGTTTATTTTCTATTGATGACAAGGATACTGGTTTTCCAGGACAATTTTATTTAAGTTCTTAAAAGTGAGTCACTTCAAAAAAGCATGTTAGGTAAATAATGTTCACTTTGGATGTGGATGCAGCAGAAGGCATGAGCTTTGAACACGAATAACTGAAGTTTGGGGAACGCTGTCCTGTACTGTCTATATATAAAGCTCTGGAGACTGGGAAAAAGTTTCAGAGTCTTTGGATTTTTAGTCTTTTCCCCAAAGATTCCAGTGCCATCTGTGATCTTAATGTATTGAGGGGAAGGCGGAAGAAAGATTCTGCCGTGAATTAGGAAAATTGACTGTAGCACTTTGTGGGCACCCCTCTGTGGGGATATACAGCTGTTCTCCTTTGAGCACCATGCAGTTATTCCTAATTTTACAATGTTATAGCAGAGATATAATCTTTGGGTGGTTCCATTTCAGCATGGCTAAGCAAAGCAAGCAGGCATATGGCTGCAGTGTGGCTGAATGGCTGTGTACTTGCCTCTTTTAACCCGCACATTATCCCTGCCCGGTGCTGTCTTTCCCTTGTGACTGTCGGCCCGGGCTGCTTCTCCTCAGGGCTGTGTCTTCATGTGGGTGGCAGGGAAGGGTAGGCTAGCCATCTGTTATTTTGCCCTCTCTTTCTGATCTTCTGGCCCACAGAAACAGGTTCGGGTGAAGTGACTGGCTGAGGTCCAGTGGATGGGAGGCCTTGTGACTTTATCCTGGCCACACACATATCTGCTGTCTTTAGCATCAGTGACAATTTAGTAATTTTTTCTGAATGCCCCATGTTACAGATCCTTACCTTTTCACATATGAATCTTATAAGGCAAAATGGATTCATTTTTTAAACTCTGGCTTTAACTTATTAAAAGCTTTAGTTCATAATTCACACAAACTTATCCCAGGAAAACAGTTTTTAATTAAAACTGTAAATTCCAGTGGTGAAAAAGGGCTTGATTTAAGTATGTGCTAAAGATTTTTAAAACCCACCAGGTTCAAGGTTTAGTTCCTCATCTCAGCAGATGGAATTAATACAAGCATAACAAAGTTAACATCATGGTTGTTTGCATTATTAATCTTCAAATGCACAGCATTCTGCTAGCTTGCTAGCCAGGTTTGCATGAACCCTTTCATTGCAGCATATGTCAACAGAAATGTGCTTCCATCTGCTGCTGGAGAGCTTGATGCCTGACATTCTGAGACAAGGCCCAGCACAATGAGTACCTCTGTGAGTAATTACAGGTGTGTGGTGAGGAGCCCAGGGCATTAATCAGACGCTTAATTATGAAAAAGGTGGATCTTTTGTTCTCCTCTTGGAGCATGGGTTTACCACACACTTTCTAAACTGCATCATCCATCTGCCGCCCCTTAGAATGTTTGCCTTGGCTGATATGGACCCTAAAGTGTATCAAAGGACGAGATTAAAGCAGGTTTAAACATTAACTTGGAAGAAGCGTGATAGGGTTTGTCTTTCCTTTCTCACTTCCTTCCTTTTTTAAAAAAATTTTTATTATGTATTTTATTTTTTGGTACAGGAAAAAGTCTGCTAAATGCTAATACTTTAATATTTGCTAAAATATTTACCATATGCGAGCGCTGCTGGGTTAAGCATTGTACAGTCATTTTAAAGGATATAAAAACCGTGATTTGTAGAAGGTAAATGAGTCCAGTAGCTAAGGAAAAAAAATAAGTATTTAAGAAAAAAATGTTGTGTGATCACATAAAAATTATCTTTTAAGAACACCAGATTGTCATGTCATTTTTATTATAAAGGACTTAAACATGTTATAATTTCGCGTGTTGTTACTACTTTGTTCCAATTTAATAGAATTAAATCAAGATTATTTTAAGAGATTTTTCAGTCATACTGAAATCTAAGAAGCCTGATCTTTTTTCATATTTTGCTTCTTGCGTATTGAGACTAACTGTAGGTTGTATAACTACAAGTCACTTAACTACAGTACTTCAGTATGTTTGATTAACATGTGTGCCCAAAAACTGCAAATAAAAGAAATTTGTGGTTTTCTTACTAATCCCCCTTGTTTACACGCATACTTGTACAGATTGCTTCAGAAATGTGGCCTGGCTGTGGATGGCATGAAAGTCATCCAGTAGTAACCCCTGGTCTGCCACAGGCAGGAATGGAGTAGGGAACGAGGGGCCAGCCAGCGGGCTCCAGATGAGAGGCCACTGCAGACAGGAATATGAGGTGTGCAGGCACACAGCGGTCTTCACACCTGCATACTGGGTACAAGGCTCCGCTTGCACTTTGCAGTCACACTTGTACTCAGAGCCACCCCTACTACTAGTAGTGCCTCAGAATATTACTGATAACATTACCACAGCACTCCATGTATTCTCATTTTTTAGCACATAAAATTATCTGAAGAGTGCGAATTTTCATCTCTTCACCTGCTCTAATATTTTTTAATGTAACAATGTGCTTTAACTTGAAAGTTGAAAGCTGATGTCAGAATATATCCTTTGCTTCAGTGATAGGTGTTTGCAGGTTTTATCTACCTCAGCATACCAGGAGCCCTGGTGGCGCAGTGGTTAAGAGCCTTGGCTGCTAACCAAAAGGTCAGCAGTTCAGATCTACCAGCTACTCCTTGGAAACCCTGTGGGGCAGTTCTGCTCTGTCCTGTAAGGTCACTATGAGTCGGAACTCACTTGACGGCATGCAACAACAGCACTCGTATAGTTCGTCCAAGGAGCCCACCTTTAGGTGGAAGACAGACGTGTCTAGTCCCGATGCCACCGTTTAGATTTTGGACAAGTCACCTTACAGTGTGGTGTCTCCATTCTCTTACCTGTAAAATGGGAACACTGTGCCTTGGACTAACTCAGTAGCCCTTTCACTATAACATTTCTGTGTTCTCTTATATTATGCAGTGGTCATACGTAGAGATGAACTGACTACTTTGGTTTTTTTTTTTTTTTTTTTTTCCTTGAAAATTACAGTTGTGGCTTCTTTTTTCCTTTCAGGATATCTTAAATACCATCGTAAGGCACTGTCCGCCCCGCTTTTTTTCCCTGGGCTTGCCTGGCTTCTCCATGCTGATTGGGGACTTCATCACGGCTGCAGCCAGGGTCCTCAGTACAGACATGTTGGTGGTGAGTATGACAATGCTCAGCATCCAGGCTCCCAGGAGGCTTCACAATCGCTAACAAGGTTCAGATTTCTCTACTCTTAACAGGTGTTGACTCATTAGTGCAACGTGAAACTGGGCTCTCCGGGCAGATACCCTGGTAGCTGACGTGTGAAATTGTGGGATAAGGTGACACAGTGGGATTGGAAAGGCGTTTCATCAAAAGGCCAAAGTGTGAGAAATCATATCCTGGCTAATATTTCAGCACATTTACACAGCAGAAGCAGGACTTGTGTCTTAGAATCTTGTTAGCATTTTCCATTATATGGTGGCACAGACATAGATGACTGTAATAAGGAGAGTTTAAGTGTACCTTAGCAGTAAGGTTGTCTTAGTAAATCTTGGTTGTTAGAGTCTCATAGAAAATATTTTGTAAAAATGTTAGAACACTAAAATTTTAACTGGAAAATGAATATGTTTTCCTATTAATGTGCCATTACTGACACTCTGGTAGAATTCTTATACTAAAAAATTAGAAACAAGTGGACTACTAAATGAGTATTAAGGGCTCCAAAAAGAATTCGTTTGCAGTCTCCACACTTCCTCTACTATGAAGGCGATGTGTCGATGCCTTCTGAGAGAATGCTCCTATACATTTAAATTTAAAGGGCCTTTCCCATTTGGGTTCTGAACAACTGTTATCGATTCAGAGCCATTTTTCCCCTTCAAATGGTATAAATACGTTAGCTTTCCTGCTTGCCAGGGACTTGTTTTGAAATCAGTGTGACTATCCAACATCCCAAATTTTGCCTGATACATGGTTCCTTTTTCACTCTACTTATTCCTTCTGTGCAGCGTAATTCTTTCTTTCTTTCTTTTTTTGCTTTTTATACTTTTATAGCTGGTATTTCATGGTGGTATTTTCATGCACTAAAATTTTCCTTTAAGGGTAAACTAGGAAGCAAAGGGAAGGGAAAAGAGAGAGGAGCAAAAGGGAAGAGTAAGAGCAGCAAAGCAAAGTAAAAGAAAACAAGGAGAAAAATGTTGCATTTGTGTAACTATATTTTTGTAAAGAATATGCCAACTTTCAGACCTCAGATTTTTGGAAAACGAATCTCAAAGAACCTTTAAATTTATTTTTAACCATTCAAATCAACATTGAAAAAAATTACAGTCTATTGGGGGAAAGTCATACTTCTTTGCTGAAATTTTTATTGCTGGCTAAGAGGGGTTTCCTGAAAAAAACTGAAGTCCCTTCTAGAGATATCATTCATAAATTCTCTGCAAAAATTTTTCTTTTGGCTACATGAGCTACTAAAGTAGCCTTCCAAAACGTTGTTAAAAACATTAAAAAGCACAGATAGGGAATAGGGTTCTATGAATGAGAATGTGCAGGTATAAGAGTTACATAAAGGAACAGCAGCTTTTCAAATGAACTGAATTACTCTCTTAGTTTAAACTTGAGGTTTAAAATTGTAGGAGGAATGGTGAGAGGCACGTGGATGGATGGGGCACAACTCGTTCAGTCTAAACTTTTAGCCAATACTAGTTCATAAGGAGTGTAAAGTCCTCCTGCTATCGGTCTGCACCCTGAGACAAGGAGGGAGACGGAAATGTGCACACAGGTCACCAAAAGATAGGTAGAGACGTGTGCTCAGCAACATTATTTGTAATCCTCAAAACCTGGAGCCAATCCAGTGTCCATCGACAGCATGATGGATAAATTGTGGTGTATACTTATGATGGAATATTGTATACAATAAAAATGCAACTACATGAATCAGTTGTATAGTATGAGGTTGAGTGAAGGCAGTCAGACACAAAAGAATATATATGCTATAATTCTGTTTATATAAAGTTCAAAAACCAGACCAAAAATGAATCTGTGGGGTCACAAGGCAGGATAGTAGTTACCTTGGGCAGGGGGGCGAGGGGGTAAGTATAATGGGAGGGGCACAAAGAGGATTTCTGGAGGGCTGGTAATGTGACTTTTGTCTACCTGTGCATGATTATATGGTTGTATGTTCACTTTGGAATCATTCATTCTGCTATACACTTATAATTTGTGCATTTTTTTCTGATAAAAGCTTTAATTGAAAATTATTAAGAATATATTTTAAAATAAATATTAAAAGAAAATTAATGGGAAAACGATTATTATAAATAACCTACCAGACACTAATGTCTGCTAGTTCCACCGCTAACACTATGTCAGTCCTTCTAGGTCTCCATTAGAGCCCTCTTTCCATTGTCCGTCTGTCCTTTCCACTCCATGGCTCTGACCTCTGCAGCCAGCATTCCCTCCCTCTTTGTATGCTCTTCAGAAATGGCATTCGTTCCATGGCTTCAGTGCCTCTGAATGGAAAAGGATCCCTTATTATTATCTCAGATTCACAGAGTCTTCTTGGGAACCCTGATACCCCAAGCTACTCCGTGGGGTGGTGGTGTTAGGTAGCCGTGAAGAACTGTGCTTACTCTCTTAGAAATTCACAGTACACATAAGCGTATTAAAGCCCCACTTTAATTTGCTCAACCAAATGTTTCTGCAGTGTCTTTTTCCCTGAGTCCTTGTTTTTCCCCTTTAATATCTGTTACTGCCCTAGGGGACCTGTGTCTTGTGGTACACACTTTGGGGACTGCTGTCTCCTGGACCCTCTCTCTGGATGCTCTTAGATGCATCTCCCCCAGTGCAGCTTACTCTAGAGCGTCTTCTTCCTCCTGCCTTCTCTTTGCATGTCACCACATCGCCTTGTCACCTTAACCCTGAGCACAAAAGTGGCTTTAAATGTCTCCTTCAGGTCCACATCTAATCCAGCATCAAGCCTAGGGATCATACTCTTCATCTTTCTCTCCAGCCCCCTCCCCACTGTCACTAACTGACTCCAGGCTTTGTCACGTTTTTCCCAGGCCTATCACAGCAACTGTCTTCTAGGTCTCAGATCAGTCTCTCCCTCACCCTTGAAAGCACCCTTTGCACCCTTCACCATACTGAGCTTCTGAAATGTGTAGTGCTATGTCACCCCACCAATTGGAGCTGGGTGTCATTTCTCATTTGCTTCAGTAGAAAGCTCTGATTCTATTGTAGGGTCACAGTGGGCACCATGAATGGCCCTTGCCAAACTCAGCAGCCTCTTGTGTCTGCCCCTTCTTCCCAGCTTCCTGCTGTTTAACCAAACTGCACACAGGCTGCCAACTACAGCAAGTCGCTCACATGCACCACCTTTGCTCAGGCAGCCCCATTGCCTGCAATTCCCTTCCCATTCTTGACCCTATAGCTTAGTAGAGTCAGACATTGTTCAAGTCCAGCGTTGCCTTGTACTAATTGTTTACCCTCGGGCAATATACGTAGGCATGTGGGCTTCGTTTTCTTTATCTGTAACTTAGGGCTCACCATAGGCTTAGCGTCTAGGAAAATCTAGATTTATTACACTCTTGGAATAAAGCTATAATCTTTATTTTATTAGGATCTGATGTTCAGCATCCTGTGAATGGTAAAAACAGTTAAGTCACTCAGCTGCTAATGTGAAGGTTGTAAGTTTGAGTCCATCCATAGGTACCTCAGAAGAAAGTCCTGACAGTCTATTTCCAAAAAATCAGCCATTGAAAACCCTATGGAAGACAGTTCTATTCTGACACACCATGGGTCACCGTGAGTCAGAACTGCCTACACGGCAACTGATTTAGTTATATGGCCTAGCATTCAACTTCAAGTTCCTCAAAGCAACCCAGGCTCACACACAACACAGTAATTCAAGGCCGCTGAGGAAGATAATTAACCTCAAAAAAGTCTAAACAGAGTGTCTTTGGTGGATAAAGGGCAGCAGTTACTGAGGACTTACAAAGCAAGTTCTCTTCAGGAAACTTTTGCTGTGGACCTACTATGCACCAAGACCTGGCCTGGATGACTATGACAGGTCTCTACCCTCCTAGCATCAGATATGTAAACAAAGTGTTAAAATTCACAAATAAATACCAGACTTACTGGTCTGACAGAGACTGGAAGAACCCCCAAGACTGTGGCCCCAGACACGCTGAAGCCACTCCTGAAGTCCACCCTTTCAGCCAAAGATTAGACAGGCCAATAACACAAATAACACATGTGAGAAATGTGCTTCTTGGTTCAGTCAAGTATAAAAGATGAAATGGGCAACAGCTGCCCAAAAGCAAAGACAAGAAGGCAGGAAGGGACATGAAAACTGGAGGAATGCACATGGGGAACCCACGGTGTAAAGGGAAGGAGGGAGAGTGCTGACACATTGCGAGGATTGCAACCAATGTCACAAAACAACTTACGTATAAATTTTTGGATGAGAAACTAATTTGTGCTGTAAACTTTCACCTGAAACACAATTAAAAAAAAAAAAAATTCACAAGTAAGTTTCTAGCAGTCATGGTAGAATCATATCCAGAACCCAGAGAAGCACCGACAAAGGAATACTTGATTCTGGTTGGTGAGAGGTAGATGGGAAGACGCAAGCCAGAAAAGTCTTCATGGGAGATGTGATGCAGAAGCAGAGACCAGAAAGATGATCAGTGTTCACGGTAAATGGGACAGCAGTGGCTGCCCCTTATCACAGGGCAGGTTTTATTGAACATCCACTGGGATAGAGAAGTAGAGAAGTGGTGACAACTCACACCCTCTGCCTTTGTGTGGGATACAAACATTAAATGGATTTATAACATCCAGGAAGTGACAAATGCAAAGAAACAACACAAAGCAGGGATGCTGAAGAACATAGAGGTGAAATGACACAATGTCTTGGGCTTGCTTTAAAATACTGAAGTAAAAAAATAAACAGGGATAAATGAGGCAAGAGTGGTAAAATCTTGATAATGCTGGAATCTAAGTGTTGGGTATATGGATATAACATTCTGTCTACCTTTATGCTTCAAGATTTTCTTAACATAAAAATAAGGAAAAATGAAGGCAACAGATGAGAAGACAGAGAGTAGCAGAGGGGCGTCCTGTGATACAGAATTACAGAAGAACCCTGTGACCAGCTGAGGAGACCGGTGTGAGATGCCTTCCCCACCCAAGTGGAGATGGCGAACAGGCAGTCTAGCCCACACATCTGGAGTCCAGGAAGGAAGACTGGGCTGGAGAGCAATGTTGGGAGTGAATTGGCAGCAAGTAGATATTTATATCTGTGGGTCTGGATGTCCTTGGGTAGTGAGTATAGACCAAGAGAGAAGAGGACAAAGGATTGCGCTCGGCATCTTGAAGTTCAGATCCTGGGGATATATGAAGTTCCATCGAGGAGACTGTCAGTTCTCCTTAGGAACCAAGAAAAGTGCCCCAGAGGCCAAATAATTTAAGTGTCCCAGGTGCAACGGAGCAGCCCACTGTATCACCTGGGACTGAAAGGTCGGGTGGGCTCAGGATGGAAGATGACCCTTGGGCTGTGCATTGTGGAGGCCATGTCACAAAACACCAGGTGCTCACTGCCCAGCTTTGGCAAATATTAACATTTTTGTGGTAGTAGTTTCAAATCTTTGGATTAAAAAATGAAATAGAATGTTCAAGATAATAGTGACTCCATCCTCGATGCCATTGCTCCATTCCGTGCTGTTGCGTCTCTTGCCTAGACTGTGCTTCGTTAACTGGTTGATTCCTGCCTCTCCTGTTAGTGTCCATTCACACCACACTCCTGCCAGGGCTCAAGGTCTGATGGTATCACTCAGAGATGAGAACATGTGCCATGTGGCCTCTAGGTCCCCTCCCAGCCTGCCCCAGGGCCTTTTTCAGACTCCTCCAGCCATGACACCACCACCCCCAGCCCCTGTATGTTCTCTGATTTTGTGCACGGGGACTCTTAAGGTTCCATGGTGTCCCAGGTTTCTTTGCCTTTGTCATTCCCACTGCCTGAAATGTGCCTCCGGCCTGCTTGCTCCCTCCCTCACTCCCTCGCTCATTGTCTCCCACCTGCCTGGCTGACTCCTACCCACCCTGCACAGCTCTTAGCAGCAGGCTGAGTGTTTTCTAACCATCCCAAGCAGAACTAGTCACTGCCTTATTTTGGTTCCAATAGAATATCCATCTCTGTGCCTTTCATTTAGGAGCCCTGGTTGCTCAGTGGTTGAGCACTCAGCTGCTAACCGAAAGGTCAGAGGTTCGAACCTACCAGCTGCTCCGAAGGAGAAAGATATGGCAGTCTGCTTCAGTAAAGATTACAGCCTTGGAAACCCTATGGGGCAGGTCTACTCTGTCCTATAGGATCGCTGTGAGTCGGAATGGACTAGACAGCATTGGGTTTGGTTTTTTGTTTTGTTTTTATGCCTTTCAGTTACCTGTGTGTTTCTGAGAACCGAGCTGGGTAAAAGATGGATGTACTGGACTCCTATGTTAACCATACTCGGCTCTGATAGCACATACTTCATTGTATTTAACTGTTTATTTGCCTCTGTTCACCTACCTACGTACCAAGCTGCCATCTCTCTGAGGGAGGGAAGCTGTCTTTCATCTCACATCCCAAGTGCTTAATGATACAGGCCTAGTGTGGACCCTGGAGTTAGATGGCCTGAGTTCAGATCCAAGGTCCATCCCTCACTTATGAGCTATGTGACCTTAAAAAGTTACTGATCTTCTCTGAGTCTCAGTTTTCTCACCTGTAAAATGAAAATGATAATAGTATTCACCTCATAGGTTGGTTGTTGAGAAGATTCAATGAGGAGATGCATGTACAACATTTAGAACAGTACCTAGCACAGAGTGAGAACTCCATAGGTGTCAGGGCCATCATTATAATTATTGGCTAACAGTAGATGGACGGATGGATGGACAGATGGGTGGGTGAATGGATTTTACACCTTTGTAATCTGGGTGCCAGCTCCCATTCTTTGCAAATCATAGCCGCTAGTAAGTGTTGGCTGAATTAAAATTGAAATCTAGTGAAATGCCTCCTTTAGTAATATACAGTTCCAGTAATGGGCAATTGTCTCTAGGCTGGGTTCTCTAGAGAATCAAAACCAGTAAAGCATATATGTATATAGAGAGAGATTTATATCAAGAAAATGGCTCATGCAGTTTTTAGAAGTCCGTAGGGCAGGAAAGAGGCTTCTCCCGCTTCACATAGCCACAGGGGCTGACGAACCCAAGATTGGCAGGTTGGAGAGCAGTGCTGTTGCAGGCTGTGAAGACTGACAAATCTCAAGATCAGCAGGCAAGACCACTGGTAAGCTGCTAGCCCAAGTCCCAAGAACTGGAGGCCAGACGAACAGGAGCCAGTTGCAAGATCCGGAACAAACAAAAACCCCAGAAAGGGGAGCAGGAAGGAAGTAGGCGGAGGAGGGTGGAGAGATGAAGGTTGAACTGGAGGTGAGCTGCCATAGGCCCCACCCCCACCAGTACCAGTCAGCAGGTTCCATCATGGAGGTGATCACATATCAGATTTCAGCAGGGAAGTGATCACAACGTTTTATAACTGCCAAAACACTGAGAAACATGGCGCAGCCAAGTTGACACACAGTCTTAACCATCACAGCAACCAAACGATTATGTCTCTCGCTAGATGTCATATCGAAAACCGGTTGCTGTCAAGTTGATTTCCGACTGAAAGCGACCCTATAGGACGGAGTAGAGCTGCCGTATAGGGTTTCCAAGGAGTGCCTAGTGGAGTCGAACTGCTGACCTTTTGGTTGGCAGCCAAGCTCTTAACCACTGTGTCACCAGGGCTCCAGATGTCATATATGATATATTATTTCACTAAATAGTTCTCGATGAGACACAGGAAATTTGGCTGATGGTATCTTCTCACTTTCCCTACCTTCTGATAGTTAGCTCCAACTCGACTTCGTTATGAATTTTCCTTAACTCTCCTTCACTGCTCTGTCAACAACATTAAGGCTAAAAAAATATATTAGGCTGGGTTTTTAAACAACCATGACTGAGTCATTTGCCATTCTGACTGAGTGAATCTGCTAACCAGTTTTTACAGCACTTGTTTACATCCAAGTGTAGTAATATTTTACATTCATTGGAAATGTACCTTTTCATTTAGGCAAACTTCTGTTCCTTACATATTTGTCTGGGGGAAATAACCAGGCATCATTTGTCCCTTATCTGAAGTTTCTAACTTATAAAAATGCGTGTATTTCACTTTCTTTGGATAGGCCCCTCGTTTGGAAGCCCTCACCATTCTTGGTTCTCTTGTCTGCTTTCCAAACACCTACCAGGAAATCCCACTACTGCAGTCAGTGCCAGAAGTTAATAAGGTTGTCACAGGAACCGAAGACATCAAGGTAATAATCCACTTTACTGAATCTCATGTTTAGCATTTTGTAATTATACAAAATGGTATCTACGGGGTGAATTAACCAGTAAGCAAGGTACCCATGGGTTACTAGTGTTTACTTACTAATCTGTGGTGCACAATTTCACCTGTTTTCACCACATCTAACCCATGTGAAATTGTGCTCCACAGATTAGTAAACAAGCACAAGTAAGCCCATCCATACCTCGCTTATTGGGTAATCTGTCCCTGTCTGTATATGAGTATCGCTTCCATTATTATGTATTGATCTACTTTTCCCTGAAGTTTTGCTACATACCTTATATGTTTCAACAGTTGTTTATAGAAGGTATAAATGTATCCGTTTTAGAGCATATTGCAGTTAGAACTATAATTACATTCTTCAGATTTTTTTAATTAGATCCGTTTATCATTCCTATGGATCATAATTATGTAATGAGTAACCCTCTGCATTACTTTTATTGGCTTCATTATGCTGCATTAGAAAACCAAATGAATTTTAAAAAATAATTGAAATAAATGTTCAATCCCATTGTTAGCCTCATTAAATACTACTAATAATTTGAAATTCCAAATTATTTCTTGGAGAATAAATGAAAAGTAAGGAAAAGACAGTCTCTTTAACAAATGGTGCTGGCATAACTGGATATCCGTCTGCAAAAAACTGAAACAAGACCCATACCTCACACCATGCACAAAAACTAACTCAAAAGGATCAAAGACTTAAATATAAAATCGAAAACGTTTAAGATCATGGAAGAAAAAATAGGGACAATGCTAGGAGCCCTAATACATGGCATAAACACAATACGAACCATAAGTAACAATGCACAAGCACCAGA